GAAGCGGCCCCGTAGTCCCCCTGTGCCGCTGTTCTTGTAGCAGTCCTCACCAAATATGGGTCACAAGCAAATCTTCAATGCTTTTACCATTTATCAGACCACTTTTCCATTCCTTACTCAACATATTTTAATTTTATACTAATACAATTCATCCTTTAGCCTGTTTTTAAAGAAGCCATAAAATCATGTAACACACATCTTATTTTTCTGTTCTATATGTAATAGATTTCCTTCCATTCATGCTAGACCCATGAACACTAGAATATTAACAACTTACTGGACATGGAGTAAAAAGTTGCACTACTTTTGAAAATTTTCTTGGGCTATTTGCCGCTGTACATGTTCCACAGGGATTTATGATTCTCAGAGTTCCTTTCCATACATGATTTCATTTGGGCTTCATGGTAGCACAGGATGGAGAAGGACAGTCATAATTCTCTGTATTTCGTATGCAAGTAAACTGAGATTTTCCCAGTCAGAGGAAACACAGGTGAAACTAAATCTAAGACCCATGGCTTCTTGATGTAGTTTCCCACCTCCAGCACCAAACAGCACAGCCCTTTTCCATCATCATCATCTGTGAATGTCATGTGAATCTGAACTACTGTGTTCAGCCTTTCAAAAGAAAAAAATAGAACACGCTTAAATGAGACCACCACCTCATTTCTAGGAGCTTCTGAAACTAAGAAAGGTGACCGCGTAGAGGCCATCCCATAAAGACCATTTAACTTTTTATACTGAACTGAGAGCAAACAGAATGTGAGTGGATTTCTTTATAAAACAGTGCTATTTGTTTTTAGGCTGAAACTTCCCTAGTACAATTGCTGAACAGCTCATCAGATAAAACAGCCCCAATGCAGAGCTTCACGTTGGATAGATCTTTGAAAGAACGCCCCTTTGTAAAGAGGACAGGGTTTCTCTAAGGGTGGCAGTTTCACAGTCCCATGAATAGGATCTTCTGCTCAGATCAGGACCTTGCATAGCACACTTACATCTACAGAAATGAACAGAGTATCGAACCTCTGCCTTCCTCACACCTGTTGTGCTGGCTTGTTTCTTTTGCTTCTCGGATGGTGCAGTCTGACAGGGCAGCAGCTTCTGATGGTTAATCCTTTTCTTTTTAATGTCTATATTTAAGATGCTTAAATTTGTGATCTTGAAATCTGATGTAATATTTGTAACACATCCACACACATCAGGCGCTACATGACTTTCAGTGAACAGCAGACTGCCTGGATGATGGTGGCCCCAGATCACGTCAGAACGGAAAAATTCCCATTGCCTAGTAACATTGTGTCACACACAGAGCAATGCATTTGCCATGTGTTCACGTTGATGCTGGTTCAAACCAACCCACCTTGCTGCTGCTTCTATAAAAGTGTAACATAAACACTCTGTACGGTACACAACACTTGATAATGATAATAAACAACTACACTGCTGGTTATGTATTCCGTCATTATTTTAGCACATACGCTGGAAAGCAGTCCGCCACATCACACCGGCAGCAGCTCACTCATCTGTTTACCTCCTCTCTTGATGGCATCCGGAGGGTGCACCAAGGGACTGACCAGGACCATCCAGGCTTGTCGAAGTACTTCACAGATTCACATCTAAGGATGCATTTCTCAAGACAGGTGCCCCTCATTAAGAGTACACGACTGTATGTACATTAACATTTTCCCTTCGAAGAGCACTGTTTTCCCCTCTGAGCCACGGCCAGTGGACGCAGATCATAAAAACACAATGATGAACAAATGTAGTGATCTCAGGCACAACCTTCAATTTGCACTTGCCATGGCCATGAGCTGGAAGCCCGAGCTGTAGCCATGTGGAAAACTGATCCCCCCACAATGGCACACGGGGGAGTCCTGAAAAACGTATGCCTTGTGCATCTGAACTATAGCTCTCTTCTATCCCACTGGCTCTATATCTTTGAACTCTTTGTCCCTCGGGTTCAGTTTGGTTTTTTGGGGGGGGGGTTGGTTTTTTTCTTTTTTGAGATGGTGTCACTATGGCCCTGAAATACGTAGCCCAGGCTGACCTGAAACTCATGGCAATCCTCCTGCCTCAGCCTCCCGAGTACTGGGATTACAGGCATATATCACCATGCCCAGCACCTCAGATTCAGTTTTTCGACAGCTGGTTTCCTTTGTCTTTTACCCAAGGATATGGTTCAACTGAATTAAGCATTCTTCAATTTTCAAGGCACCAAAAATAAAAAGAATTTATTTCTGGGAATAAAAAGAGAAAGCTAGCAATGACACCAATGGCCACTCCTGCTCACTCTAACCCTGATTCCAAGGCAGAGCATCTGGACCGTGGGTGCTGCTGATAAAGAGTAAGATAACAATGATCAAGTTGAAGCAAGATTTGGTCACTGCTCAACTCTGATTTTTATTCTTACTCCTGTTAGGGAAATCAAGAGACCAGGCCTTAAGGCATCTAAATAAGCATGACATGCCCTACATCGTAACTAAGCCTGGAATTCACGCTTCATCATTCACGTTCCCTGCCCTCCTCTCGCTCAGAACAGCAGGAATAGAGAGTGGGCCAGGCCCCCAGAGGAGTCAAAGGCAACGGAAGCGGACCGGGAGAAGGGGAGCTGAGGGAGGAGTTCCTGCCACTTCTCTGTTGTCTTCTTTCCCGACGTTTAATGCGTCACTACTTCATTCCTTTCCTCAACACAGTGATTAAAGATTATGTTCTCCTCTTTTCAAAATCCCTGCCACCTCTTTTTTTCTTCAGAATAGCCCCATCGTCTCTCCAAGCTTCACTTTCAAGGAAGATACCTGGCTTCTTTCTTTACAGCATGTAATATATGTTGATCCTTGGGAGAGAAAAAGAGACGGGTAGTTCTGAGAAGCATCTACACAGCTAAGCTGGCTAAAGAAGAACACAAAGGCCAGCACTGGTGGTGCACACCTGTAAACCCAGCACTTGGAACGCTGAGGCAGGAGGGTTGCTGCAAGTTAAAGGCCAGCCTGGGCTACATAGTGAGACCCTGTCTCAAAAAACAACAAAAAAACACAAGGGTGGTTACCAGAATAAAGACAAAGATAACTGCAGTTTTTCCTTCTATTTGGGATTTAAGTAGCTCCTTTGTTATCAAAATAACTACATCAGCATGAATAATCTGCTGATTATAAAATTAATCCTTGGCAGAGAGAAAGAATTAACATTTAATGAATATTTGCCATCTGCCAGCATGGAAGGAAAGCTAATGGTTCTTAGTATTTCAGTGGTCAAGGACTCATCTGAGATTATTGTAGAAGGTATGAAATCTTTCCCCTAAAAAACTGCAAATGGATATAAAATTTCACATAGAGTTACAGGGGCAAATGTTTTCCTGATGCACAGCCACAGACACCAGAATACAATCTCTGTGCTAGGCATGGCCTTGTTGAGTTGGATACCATTATCCCCGCCTTACAGATAAAGGGACACAGAGGTTCAGTCCTAAGGAGTAGTTGCAGTAGACCTTGTATTTGTGTTCCCCCCAAATTCATAATGAAACCTAATCTCCAGTGTGAGGGTACCCGAAGGTGGAACCTGTGGGAGGGAATAAGTAACAAGGGCAAAGCACTCGAAAATGGGATTGGTGCCTTTGTAAGAGGCCCCAAAGAGATCGTCATCCCTTCCACCATGTTGGGCCAGGGATATAGCTCAGCGGTACAGAGCCTGCCTGGCAAGTGCAAGGTCATGAGTTTGATTCCTGGTACCAAAAAAATTAAAAAAAGAATTCCTTCCACCATGCACGGTCACAGGGAAAGATGGCCTCATCAGACACAAAACTTGCTAGCTCCTTGAACTCAGACCTCATAGCCTCCAGATCATGAGAAAAAAATTTGTGGGTTTACTGTTTTGTTTGGTTTTGTTTTTCTTTGCTTTGCTTTGTTTTGTGGGAAGGGCACTCGTTATGTTGTCCAGGCTGGTCTTAAACTCTTGGGCTCAAGTGAGCCTCCTACCTCAGCCCCATGTAGCTAAGACTACACACATATGCCACTGCACCCAAAAATTTGTGTTTAGAAGTCTGTGGTATTTTGCAATAGCAAGCTGGACAGACTAAGAAAGTACCCAAAAGAATTAAACAAGGTTTACCTAAACATTGTCGCTTCCATTCTCCAACGAAAATATCACCTAACTTTTACTGTAACTATCATCCCTGATCCCCTCCTTTTTTCTTTCTTTTTTTGTAGTATGAGGGATTGAACCCAGGAACTGACACATGCTAAGCAAGCACAAAGGCATTCTTTTTACATTTTGAGACAGGGTCTTGCTAAGTTGCCCAAGCTGGCCTTAAATTTGCAATCCTCCTTCCTTAGCCTCCCAAATAGCTGGGACTATAGGTGTACACCGCTACAGCCAGCTCCTTCCTTATGTTTAACTGAGGAAATAAGAGGTTACATGAGAAGCTAAGACCAGCACTTCCCATTCTGGACTCAGCCACAGGGAATGAGGAAGCTCAGAATCCATCAGCTCCAACCTCAACTCTATCTGCCCCAAGCCCCACTCTTCCTGATCCTCCCATCGCCCAGTTGGAAGACAAGTCAAAATGGAGTCTTTCTTAGAGGTTTCTCATTGCTCAGAATGAGAGGCAACCTCTCCTTAAATAATCTGCCCATCAAAATGTGAACAAGAGGGCTGGGGATACAGCTCAGTGGCCCAGGGCCTGCCTGGCAAGCATGCTACACGGTCCTGAGTTCGATTCCTTGTACCAAAAAAAAAAAAATATATGCACAAGAGACTAGTCAAAGCCTATGGATATGAAACAAAAGAAATTTAATTTCAGGATAATGCAAGAATATAAAACATAATACATATGTTTCTTTATAATTACACACACATACATTATATATAGTCAAACAAGAATGAAAAGTAAAAATGGTGAAACCTCTTAAGAAACCTGGTTAGGTTTTTGAATGAGCTCAGGGACAGGGCAAAGGCAAACTCTGCTCTGAAGAAAGGTCCCCTGGGGTGAGGGCATTTTTTTTTTTTCCTGACAGGATGTGCTGGTCCCTAAACATGTCAGAGGCATGCTCAATGGCTCTTCAGCATGAGCTGTGGCCTTACACACTCGTTTCCAGGGTAACTCAAGCACTCCAGCTATTTGTACTCCACCTCCTCACTAATCTGCCTCCAACAACTCTACCCTGATCTCAGCAGTAGTTGTTCTAGTAAAGCCAGCTTTCCACAGTGAGTTTGCCACTGGCTAATTACCACTGCATTCAAAAGCTTTGCATCTTAGGGACTAAATTTTTCCCAAATCTTGTGCAGTCTGGCCGATATCCAGATTTAAAGCTAGGCCCTGTCTTCAGCACCCTTCAGAGCAGAGGAAGGAAAGGATGAGGCTCTCTCCTGGGGAAAGTAGTTCTACACAGAAGTGGCCTCAGAATAGGAGCTATCACCTTCCAACCCCTTGGGAGGCCAGCAAAAAGCATGGAAGTAGGTGAAGTCTAGAGATGGTCATTCCCAAGGATGGCCTCCCACTGCTTGGTCACACTGGCAGGCACCGTGGGGCACAGTCCCAGTGACCACAAATTCCCCTAGGATGCAGTGTTTTAAACCGTATGCTCCCAGAAGCTCCTACTAGGGAAGCTGAACAGAAAGATTGCCACTCTGGAGGAAAGAATGACCTGCTCTAACACCAAGATCAACTGGCTTCCTTATGGACCAACAAAACAGCCACCTCTGGCACAGCCAATGGTCACCATAGTCAAAACCACTCTGTACCACCTAAGGGTGCCCCTCCCCTTGTCATTCCTGACTGACCCTGGAAGGACAATCAGCGTAAAGAGCTTTCCTTTGTGCAGGATGAGTTGTGGTTTGATTATGATTCATTACCTGCTCCTCTTGTATGTTCTGGCACTCAGGTATAACCCCTATCTCCTGACCCTCTTTCATTGCTACACTGGGGTTTTTCGACCAAGATTCATCGGTCCCAAATGCCAAAGCCCATCACTGTAAAAGGCTGAAAACTCAGTGCCTGCAGCTTCCACTAATCTATCCAATGCAGCTCACCCAAACAGATCTTAGTCAAGGAAGCAGTCTGTGTTTTTATGCTGTGTTCCCCTGGCACAAATACAGTGCTCCAAATTGACACCACATCAAAACCCATGGCAACTGACCCCAGAAAAAAATGAAGCTTTAAAAACCACAAAAGGCACTTCCAAAGAGATTGTTCCCATATGAAAAATAAACACAACAAAATGGATTTTTAAACACCTTACAGGTTAAAAAAATTAATTAAATACTGGCTCAAAAATACCTGCTTACTAAGTCAGAAGGGATATAGTAACCTTCTGTGAAATGAAAAAGTTTTTTTTTTAAGTTTATCATAAGATTTCACAGGATTAGAATAGTTACAGATTATAACGTAGAAAATTTTGCTGCTTATTCTTCAAATTTGGTTTCCAACTGGATCACAGCTTCTATAAGAAAAATGACCTATAATACCCTTAAAACAAGGGTCATCACATATTCAATAAATAACACACATACCCATACACAAACATAAGCCGCCCAAGCATGTGCACATGGGACACACCTCTCTCATCATTCTCACCGCAGGATACTGCCCGCAGTGACCAATCCCTTAGCATCTCCTAAGTCTCAGGCACCTCTCAAACAGCATAAAACAGCACAAAACTGGATGACAAGCAGCCACTGAGTCACTTTCTGCTCCCTCTACCTGATACCAGACCATACATAAGAGACCACCACACCACTCCAGGATAAACACACTTAAATGAATAAAGAAAAAGTACTGAGTTAAGGAAGAACACTACTTTGATTTAGTGATACCAAAGGGGTCTCTGAATTTGCTGTTACTTGATACAAGAAAATGCATTTTTTCCTAATAAGAAAAAAAGTCATGTGCATTTACTTGTGAATATTTTAAAGAATGACCTAAGACTGCTGTAGAATAAGGGGCTCCTAAGCAGTTTTATACTTCTATACCTTTACTGCCCCAATTTATCATGTTGGAAGGCCCAATTGTATATTTTCTTCACAAATGGGTTAACAGCAGCAAAAGAAACACTACAGGATGGAAAAGAGGGTTGTCACCCAGACATAAAGCCAAACTCTGCTATTCCAGAGTCATTCATCATTTCAGCAATAATGCAGCATTTTCAATTGTTTAAAGATAGGTCAGCAAACAATATTTCGCTAGGCACCTTCTTCTCCACAGTGGGCCTGACTCAGCTCCAACACATAGGGTAAGAATGGTATACAGCTTAACAGAACCAGGGATAAACCAGAACATTTCCGCCTGCCACACACTACTCTGGGCAGTGAACCCTTCATTAAGATCAATGCCATGCCACTGCTCACCTCAAACCTGTGTGAACATACCCAACCCAAAAGCCAAATACTCTAGCCCCATCTCCCACCTGCTACCTGTGCCCATTCTGACAAGGACCAGGCACTGCAGCAATTGTCCCTGAGCACTGGTGGTAAGCCACAATGGCTTCCAAGTAAGAATGCTCTGGGCCCTGTACAGCCCATCCACCCCTCTCCTCCAATTGCAACCTGCTCTCGGGAAATGGTCTAGCTGCACGTATGACTCCTAGGAAGGTGCGACAGAGTCCACCCACAGTCAGCCAGGCCCTCCAGACACACTTGAGAGCTGCCCACCACATGCACAGATTTCAGCAATCCTCTATAAGGCTGTCCGGGACTTCGTGAGTCGCAGTGATCTGGCACAGAAGTATTCACTCAGTACCAGAGATGTTGTAGATGAGAAGATACTGAGGGAAGGAAACAACTGCAACAACCACACAATTTTTCACATCACTAAGGAAAAGGGAGAGATTAAGAGGGGAAGGATGAACAGAGGAAGAGAGGAAAAATAGTTTAATAACTAAAATTTGCTAAAATATTGTTCTGAACTCTCCTTTTTTGACACTAGAGGTCAAATACCCTGCAATCTAGACCCCAAAAAGATAATTTTAAATTTCCAAGAAAGCTATAAATTCTTTGAAGATAAATAAGATGCTAAAGAATATGGCCTCATGAGATAAGGAACTTTCCCAAAGCCTAAGGTAAAAAAGGATGGAAGTTTCTAGCTTACAGCCCGTTTCAATTACCAATCCCCCTAAAATGCATTTTAAAACAGATAAACAATAAGCAACACATCAAAACATGAGAGAAGTCCAAAATATCAGTAGAATATAATATCAACCCATTATGGTTGACAGTACTTTTTTTTAAAAAAATGGCAGTTGAGCACAAAATTTCCTATTTTTAAAAACAGAATTGGCCTAAAAACACTGACTGAGCACTGGAGGTCCCTGGTTCTGCCCATTTACTGTACTGTATATGCTGCTGGCTGGGTAGTGGTTTCCCCATAATATTGAAAAAGAGAGAAAGACCCTAGCACTCTCTCTGAAGGCACAGCTTACAAACATCATCCAGTGAGTAGGATTAGAGGTATCAGTCGGGTCACAGGATTAGTCAGCTTTTTCAGTTCAAACAGCAGCGAGCAAGCTGCAAGTCCAAGCTTCACTATGAGTAGAAATGATAGCTGGCCCACTAAATTCTGGGTGGGAGACAGGAGAACTCTAGATCCTTCAGAGGAATCCTAGGTTGAAGGAGAAACAAAAGCATTAGATATGTTTATAAATATAACTTTTTTCAAACCTCCCACCTAAAAGCTACAGTCGATACTAAATATTTTCTCTAACCTGCAAAAGAAAGAAATTCAGAGTCTGACTCTCTTCCAAGAAAACCACCTGGTCAGCCTGATCATTAAATCATCTTACTGGTTAAAAAAAAAACCTGCCAGTTAGTAAGTACATAGTCTGTGCCAGGTGTTACTCTAAGTTCCTTACGTACATTACCTTGTTTTTCCTCACAAGTGCCTGTGCAACTACCTGCCGTTTTTTTAGGTGAAGAATCTATAGCCTACATGGTGAACTTGCTGTAGGACATATGGCTGTTAACGCAGCGAAGCAGAGAACCGGCCTCCTAAGTGATGCAGAGCTCATGTTCTTATCACCACTGCACCCTCATCAGCAAATGTCCACTAAATGGCTACCAGGGCAAGGTAGAAGACAAAGGGCTACAAATATATTACATCTTCTGGAAGATAAACCAAATACAGAGATGAGACAATACATGTAAAGTAAATACCATGAATCATATTAAATGCCTACAATTCAGTAGCATCAGTCAGACTTCAAAGCAAAAATATAACTCTATCTGGCTGGATTAGCCAGGGGTTTCAAAGAGGAGGTAGAATTTAGGCGGTCTTAGAAGAACAAGATAGTCACTACTGAAAATAATGCCCACTAATAAGCAGGTACTAAATCAGTTGTCATCTAGGAATGACCTTCCCCATTCTCCTCAAGGGACATTTAGTAATGTCTGGAGATATTTTTCTTCATCACAACTAGGGAAAGGGTGTCAGTGCCATCCACCAGGAAACAGCTAGGGATGCTGCCAAACATCATCAAATGCACAAGGGGGCTCCCACAATAAGTAACAAGGAGGGAACGTGCTATTGTCATTTGTGCAGACTGCCTTACATGTGGTAATTGAAGTAAAGATTTAGGCGCTGGGGATTTAGCTCAGCGGCAAAAGCGCCTGCCTGGCAAGTGCAAGGTCGTGAGTCCGGTTCCGGAGAAAAACCAAAAAAAAAAAGATTTTGTGTGTGTGGAGTGCTATGGGTATTTTCATTGTAGTTCATATGGGAACTTATATCTGATGTTCTCTTTTACACTTTGTACACCAAAAACCAGTGGATGTTGAAATTTTTGATGCTTTTTTATAAACAATATTAAAAACTCAAAAAAAAGCAACTAAGGATCCCAAATGTCAATAATGCAAAGGTTGACAAACTCTGTGCTAAAGAAAAGTGTTTTTTCTATTGTTATTGATGAAGATAATAAAGTTGCATTATCTTCTTCAAAGAATAGTTATTACTTTTATAAACATCAGTATCAAAACCCTCGGACTGTATGCATTGTTGTGTAAAAGAAATGTATGGCAGGCCCCTGGGTTTGGAGGCTTGAGGGCTAGAAGACAAGTTCAGACCTGGAGACGTTGTTTGGGGAATAGTTATCACTCAGAGAGCGGAACTGAGCTGAGGAAGTACACTGAGCTACAAAGGGGGGTGGGAGTAACAGGAAAAAAGCATAGAGAACTTAAGATAGATTTTTAAAACAACAACAAGTGAAAGCAGATGGCTAGGCAGACAACAGTAAGCCAGTTAAAGGAAAAGAATTAGAAGAAGAGAACAACAATAGGGTAGCATCATTACACCAAGGCAGGTGTTCCAGGGTATAGTGACGGAGAGAGAGGAAAGTGAAAATGCCAGTACTTCATCCAACTAAAGGTCATTTATTATCTGTGGGCCTTTCCTTTTTTCTAAACCACTAACATTTATGAGAATCTAATAAAAGCTATAGGTACAGACACATATGCACATACACACACAATACACAGTGTTTTGTATATAAAAACATGAGAAAAATGTGCACATGCACTCACATAAAAGACTGCATTGCTGAGCGTGGTGGCACATGCCTGTAATTTCAGCTACTCTGCAGACTAAGACAAGAGGATCACAAGTTCAATGTCAGCCTCAGCAACTTACCAAGACTTTGTCTCAAAATAAAATTTAAAAAGGATTGGGGATGTAGCTCAGTGGAATAGATCTGACTAGCATGCTCGAGGCCCTGGGCTCAATCCCCAGTACTGAAGAAAAAAATATACTGTATTTACAATTATAGAAACTTAAATGAATAAATGAATGAATGAAAGAAAAAAAGAAAGGAAGGAATGAAGGAAGGAGGGAGGGAAGGAAAAAGGGAAGAAGGGAGAGAGGGAGGGAAGAAGGAAAGAAGAAGGAAGGAAGGAAGGAAGGAAAGAAGGAAGGGAGGAAGGGAGGAAGGAAGGAAGCGAGGAAAGAAGAAAGGAAGGAAGGAAAAAAGAGAAAACTGAAACTTTAAGCCAGGCCTGTTACAGGTGCACGCCTATAGTCCCAGCACTTAGGAAGCTGAGGCAGGAGGATCACCACAAGTTTGAGGCCAGCTCAAGCTACATATTGAGTTCAAGGTCAGCCTGAACTATGTATAAAGACCCTATCTCAAAAAACAAACAAGGGGCTGGGGATTTAGCTCAGCGGCCAAAGCGCCTGCCTAGCAAGCGCAAGGTCATGAGTTCGGTTCCCGGTACTGGAGAAAAACCAAAAAAAAAAAAAAAACTTTACTAGATACCTTAGCAGGTCCACAGACAAGTAAAGACTCCCTGCTCTAACAGGTATGGTAGTGCAAGCCTGTAACCCTAGCTACTCAAGAGGTTGAGGCAGAAGGATCACAAGTTAGAGTCCATCCTGGGCAGCTTAGTAAGATACGTCTCAAAATCAAAATAAAGGAAGTGAGGAAGGTGGGTGCAGTTCAGTGTAAAGACTCTGAGTTTAATCCACAGTGCTGAAACAAAATAAAAAAGCATTCTACTCTAAAGCTTCTTTGGGAAATACTACACTAGCTTATTTGTTAAATTCCTTTCTTTCTTTCCAAAGCAGAACTGTCAAGTTAGAGAAAGATTTATTATTTTCTGCTCATCTTCAAAAATGAAAGTGACAAAAGATGTAATTGATACAAAACAAAATAGCCTTCAAAAATAACTTACAGTTTTAACTCACAAACATATAGGATAAAAAATTTAGACATAAATAACTCAAACACTGATCTTGCCTCAATCAGTGAGCCCTGCCAAGAAGTCAGAAGCAACGAGCATGAAAAGAGAGCTCAGATAATTCATTCAAATGTAAATAACAAGACCATCCTAAAATCTAGTATTCCAGAAAAGAATAAAAGTTCATCCACAATGAGTGGGCTTTTGTTTTGTTTTGTCTTGTTTTGTTTTGTTTTTCTAATACTGGTGTTTCAAACAGTAAATATACTGTCTAGGGGATAAAGTGAGCCTGTCAAGCCAAAGAGCACTTCACCTACCACATGAACCTTGTATCACAAGGCTAAGTCTGATCTGGTTTTCTTTAATAACAACCGTTATAATTTGTTGATGCTTTAACAATTATTTCAACCAAGTCTTACGATAAACCTGTGAAATAAATGTAACTATTTAATGATTATTCTTCACCCAAATTTTGGAGATTTTTGGATTTGGGGATATTCACATAGACCAGCTAAACAATCCTAATCCAAAATTCTGAAAGCCAAAATACTTGGGACTCAAAAAGTTTTAGAGTTTTAGAGCATCTCAAGCTTTAAAATTTTGGAATAAAAGTGCTAAATCTGTTTCAGCCTCATTTTCAGAGGTGGAAACTCGAGTTCTGAAAGAACTGGCTGTTGAAGATGGCAGGGACCAGGTAGGTCATCTGTTTGAAGCTCTACCTTCAACCCCTCAACACCTAGGGCGGTACTGAGTAGAACACCCATCTAATGAAGGAATTCAGGGGTAAAGATCTGGCCCAGTCATTTTCAAAAAAAAACACTACTGATTTGATGCAGAAAGAAACTACATTCAGTAAGAAAAGAAAGCAAGTACAATTGATACCTTTTTTCCCCTCTTTCTTCCCCTCAGACCATTTCAATCTTGTTGGTGTCATCATGACAGCTGGAGAGTCAGAAAATAACTGTAACAAAAAGATTTTATGGTGGCTTAAACATTCCAATGTCAGTGGAGAGAGAGAGCTTCCTAACAGGAATCAATTATAGAGATTGATTCCTAACAGGTACAGAGAGAGAGCTTCCTAAGCTTCCTAACAGGAATCAATATAGAGAGAGCTTCCTAACAGGAATCAATTACTCATTCAATTTCAATGGGAGGAGTTTCACCAAGACTCACATATTTATACCTCATTAATCTTAACAGACTCATGCTGACTTGATGAAGTAGCTATACCTGGGATACCTTGAAGAAGTACCCTACAGGTAATGCAGAGCCTACGGAGGCCTGGCTCAAATGGTATCTGCCCTGTGAGGGCTCCCAGGAAGAATTAACTGCACCTTCCAGCACTTGTTTCTGAGCTGTTCATTCTACTGGTCATCTGAGCTTGTGACTAGCTATATCCTTCTTAAACTCAAGACGTGTACTAAATGATTCAAAGAAAACCCACTGAAAGAAAATACTATAAATAAAAGGGTTAGTTGAGGAAAAAGTCAAATCATTGAATGTCAAAATAGTTGAAAACATTTGAATGGCCAAGAAAAACACAGTAAACCAAAAGACAGTGTATCTGTTTTTTCCTTTCTACCATTGTACACACCCAGAAAGTCCACAGAACAGTATCTTACTAAGTTCATATTTTCTTTGCTGCCATTCTTCAATTCACCCATGGCCACAGATTCTGGAGTAGGATACTTGTTTTTCTTTTCTGACATCATCTGGTTTCCCAGGACTTTGCGCTGATTTAGGAACAGAAAAGATTTGATTTACAAACATTTAGTGTATCTCTACTGTAAGCATACTTGTCTTCAAAACTAGTTTCCTTAGGTTAAAAAAAAAACCACTCTGACAACTTCTGCATGTACCCTCCAGCCATCTCATAAAAAGAAGGCTTTTCTTTAAGTAATTACTTTCCAAAAACTTAAAAGAGCTGAGATATTAGAATCAACTTTATGCTTAATTTAAACCAGCTAATATAAGCCAACTGCAGTGTTTCTCTGAAACCATAAAAGAAACATCAGTTACTTACCAATATAGACTTTTCCCTGAAGTGTGTTGTCGCTGGTAGCTGCTAAGAGCCTATTGCCCCTCCCCTCTAAGGATATGTAGGCTGTTCTGTTCTAAGATTTTGCTTCCCTGTCATTTCCTCACACAGAACTAGAGAATTTGGAGAAATTCTGAGATACTAATATAGCCACAAGAGGGTACAGGCCTTCTTAACAGGATCACATGACTATACTGCCATTCAGAGCAAGACTAAAAGCCTTTTCATCACCGAACAGCTTAAAAGCTGAGCTGACAGTGACAATTTTACCCTCTTTGGAGAAATCATCTTTTTTTCCCCTAAAGAATAAATCTGAATGCAAAAACTAAAACATTAACTCTACATTATAAATATCAATAGCAATACTCAGGATATTCTAATTTAATAAATTAATGTACATGAGGAATTCTAGGGGAAAAAAACTAGCCAAAAAGAGAGATCAAAGCAGGACAGATTGTCAATTATACATTAATAAAGCTGAAGGGGGATTAAATTTTAAATTTTTAAATAAAGGATAGAAATCAAATAGCTAAAACACAGAAATGCTAGAAAAATACAAACAACACATCCTCTTTTCAGAAGTCAAGTACCATTTGAGAGGATGCTGGAATAGGAGTGCCACAAGACTGGTTGTAAAGCTTCCAATGAACTGCTAAAAAGACATCTTATTACTCTCCTTTGGAGCTACTGAGCAAAGCCTACATCCACTATCAGCTCAAAAATCTCAGCATGTGCAGCCAAGCATGGTGCCACGTGCCTATAATCGCAGCACTTGGGAGGCAAGAGGATCATGAGTTTGAGGCCAGCCTGGACTACATAGTGAGTTCAATGCCAGTCTAAACTACCTAGTGAGACTCCATCTCAAAAAATAATAATAGCCAGGCATGGGGAAACACACCTATAATCCCATCACTCAGAAAGCTGAGACAGGAGGACTGTTGGGAGTTCAAGGCCAGCCTGAACTGCATAAGCCTCAAAAGACAGTAATCATAGTAATAAATAAAATTATTGTTCCAAAATGTTTTATCTAATGTAATTATAAGCTGTTCTATAAATTCTAAAGTTCTAAATTTTTCTCAGTAAAGAAGTGAGCAGCAACCAAGGAAGAAACTATCTATTTACATTTCAAGCAATAATTAGCTGATACACCTAAAACCAACACCTAAAGCACAGATAGAAAACTATGCTATCTAACTTCAGTTAAAGAAACACTTATTTGACTATACCTTTTATCAATCATCTTTATAACAGAGAAGTCATAGAGAGTAACAGATTTTTCCAACTGGGGAGAAAAAAATTATAATAAACTAAGGTTGTTCATTTTATGGTGGGGGGGTTGTTTCTGTTTTTATTTTGAGACAGTATCTCACTATGTAGCCCAGGCTGGCCTCAAACTCCATCAACCCTCCTGCCTCAGCCTCCCGAGTGCTGGGATTATAGGCATGCACCACCACAGCAGGTTGTTCATTTTATACTAGCCATGAGCAGGTGAATGTACTTCTAGAGTTCTAGTAACAAGAATTTTTTTAAACTATGGAAAATATGCATAAAATTTACCATTTTATCCACTTTCAAGTGTATGGTTCAGTGACATGAAGTATATTCACAACTTTGTCCAACCGTTACCCCACTATTCACCTCCATAATCCTTTTCATCTTCTCAAACAGCAACTCTATGCCAGGGATAGCAAACCTCTGAGAGATGAGTGCAGCGCCCAAACTGGAACCCAAAACCCACTTACTTATTGCAAAGAGCTAACACAGCAACTAAACCTGAATCCTGAGGTTTTACTTTAGAAAAAACAACTCATAATCATCTTTTGTCTTAAAAGAAAAATAACATGTGTGCCACAGGTTCACCACCACTGCTCCATACCAATTAGATGACTCCCCATTCCCTTCATACACCCCTAGATGCTGACCACTTCCATTCCACTTTCTGCCTCTGCGAACTTGATCACTCTAGGTACCTCATAAACATGGAACTGTACAATATTTGTCTTTTTGTGACTGGCTTATTTTACTTAGTATGTCTTTGAGGTCCATTCATATTATAGCATATGTCAGAATTTCCTCCCGTTTAAGGATCAATAATATTCTTTTGTCTGTTTGTACCATATTTTGTTTACTCGATAAATTAACCTATCAATGAACTGCTGGATTGATTCCACCTGCTGGCTACTGTGCACAGTGCTGCTATAAGCACTGAACAAACACCTCCTTGAGACCCAACCTTTAATTCTTTTGAATATACACTGAAGTGGAATTCCTGAACCATAAAGTAATTCTATTTTTAAATTTTTTTCAAAGACTCTCATATGGGTCTAGTTTTAATCTTTGGCATGTGGAAAGCCAGCTTTACCAGCACCATTTATTAAAGAGGCTGGAAACACTGGCTTTCCACATGCCAAAGATTAAAAGAGACCCATATCTTTCACCATGCACTAAACTAAAATTGAAATGGATCAAAGATCTAAATATTAAAACAGAAACACTAAATCTACTGGAAGGCAGAACAGGTAGAACTCTTGAAGACATCAGTGTAGGCAAAGACTTCATGAACTAAAGTCCAATTGCACAGAAACTATCACACCACACAACTGGGGTCTCACCTTATTAAAAAGCTTCTGCAGGGGCTGGAGATTTAGCTCAGTGGCACAGCGCCTGCCTGACAAGTGTGAGGTCGTGAGTTCGATTCTTGGTACCAGAAAAAATAAATAAAATAAAAAAATAAAAAGCTTTTGCACAGGAAAAAAAAAAACAGAGTAAAGAGACAACCCACAGTGTAGGAAAAAATATTTTGCCTGCTATTCCTCAGACAAAGGACTAATATCTAGAGTATATAAAGAACTCAAAAAAAATCAGACCCCCCCCAAATTTAAAGGCCCAATCAAAAATGGCATCTGAAATGAATACATACTTCTCAGGTGAAAAAGTAGAAATGGCAAATAAATATATTAAACAAATGTTCAACATCATTGGCTATTCTAGAGATGCAAATTAAAACAACACTGAGATTCCATCTCACTTCAGAAAAAATGGCTATTATCAAGAACTTCATCAATAACAAATGTTGAAGGGGCTGTGGGGGAAAAGGAACCCTTCTCCGTTGCTGGTAGAATTGCAGAGAATGTAGACTGGTGCAACCACTGTGGAAGTCAGTGTGGAGATTCTTCAGAAAACTAAAAGTAAAGGTTCCATTTGACCTAGCTATTCCCCTTCTTAGTGGCTTCCTGAAAGAATTAAAAATATCAAAAAAAAAAAAAAAGATATCATACCACAGCGATATATGTGCACCCATGTTTATAGCAGCAGTTTGTAATAGCTAAACCTTGGAAACAACCCAAATGCCCATCAACTGGTAATGGCTAAAGAAGATATGAATTTTTTATACAAAGGAATGCTGCTCTGCCATAAAGAAGGATAAGGCTGAGACATTCCTAGGTAAATGGATACACCTTGAGGCCAACTCTTAAGTGAAATAAACTGGACACATATGTGCAAATACCACATTGTTTCTCTGGTGTGAGAAACTGAAAGTGTAAATAAGGACCAAAATGTATAATAGATATTGGGAAATGGGAAGAAAACGTCCAAATAGGAAGGGGAACTAGAGAGGGAGGAGAGAGAAAGGAAGAAAGGGAAAAGAAAAAACATGAGAAAAGAAGGAAAAAATGGAAACAAAGCTTTCATAAATAAGGCAGGGAAGAGGGGTTAAAGGGAGGGTAAGAGAATGGGAAAAAAAATAATCCAGTTATATCATGATACAAATGCCCTATAATGAATGTGATCATTATGTATACCTAAAATATACCAGTAAACTTAATTTAAAAAGTGGAAAAAAAGATTGTAACATGGTTTTCCATAGCACCTGCACCATTAACATTCCCACCGGTGTACAAGTTTTCGTTTCTCCATGCTCTAATCAACATTTGTTATTCTCTGTTCTTTTAATAATATCCATCCTAGGGGGCATGAGGTGGTATCTCATTGTGGTTTTAATTTACATTTCCTCAAGATTAGTGATGCTGAGCATGTTTTCATGTATTTCTCAATCATTTGTATATCTTCTTTGGAGAAATATCTACTTAAATCCTTTACCCACCTTTTAATGAGGTTGTTTTTATGTTGTAGAGTCATAGGACTTTTGCTGAGAAGTTATATTCTGGATATTAACTCCTAACCAGATATATGATTTGCAAATGTTCTCTTTCATTTCATGAGTTGCTTATTCACTATGCTGACAGCAAAGGAAATTTTGATGTCAAACAAACCTAATGTCCCAAAATCTATTGGCCTCAGCAGATCAAAACCGTGAATTCTAGACTCCCAGAAATGCTAACAAGGACCAAAATCAGAGTTAAGTGAACTTGCAGAACCAGGCATGGTCATTCATGCCTGTAGCCCCAACACTTGGGGAGCTGAGGAAGGAAGAGTATTAGTCTGAAACCTGCCTCTACAGTACCCTGTCTCAAAAAGCTAAAAGAAAACAAACAAAAGCTAACAGTTGCTCCTTAAAGGACAAAAAGAATTAGAAGTCATTCATTTTTTAAGACAAATGTTTAAAGTTTTAATTAAAGGGCTCCATAGTGTTGCTGGATTTATATATCTTAGTAATGTTAAAACAATTTTTGAAAGAAAAATAGTAGAACACTCAATAGTGCTAATCTCTCTCCAAGCTAAGCAGAACCTGCT